TTTCCCCCTCTGTCTGCCAGTGTGGACAGTGACATGCCATCAGCTGGTTACAGACACTGCACTCACTGTTGCCACCCTGTGGGTATCACATGATTTCAACACACCCTGGAGCAACTGCTCAGTGCAGGGAGGGTAAAAAGAGACAGAGGATCTCTACTCTGATCAAGTGCCTCTGTCCCAAGGTTGTCAGTGGCCACCCAGGCCCTAGAGAGTCTCGGCTGTTGTCCTGGTACCATCTCTTCCCTGCCTTGAAGACAGAGGGCCAACCATTGGAGTTTACCCTGGGCACACCCTCTCCTGCTGGTATGTGGCCTGGCTGACAGATTAGCAGCTCTGCTTGCTCTGGGACACCTGGCTCCTAACCATTGTGGAGGACATCTGTATTGCCTAAAATGCCACACAAGGCCACAGCAGAATGTTGGGGGCTTTGTAGATTTTAGAGTTGTTGTTACTAACTCTAACACATACTCTAGGAAGACCCTGGAAAGAAGCACATTTATTAAGAAGGAGAAGGCCTTTAACGATAAGCATATATGTATATGTGTATGATTGTAGAGGAGTCATAGGAGGAAGAACTGCAGGGCTGCCAAATCTCAGGACCTTGGCATGCAGGGAAGAGTGGGCGCAGGCACGCCTGGGTTCCTGGTCCACCTGCTATAGACCTGCCCTCCTCACATGATCCTGGGGAGATCTCTGAACCCACCTCTGTTAGAACTGGAAAATGCAGGGGCTTGAGCAGTCTGACCCCATGCTGCTGAGCTGGCAGGGTGGCATTGTGACACGGCTCTAGACTCATGGTGTCACCATCACCAAGCACCTCCCTGCCTGTCCTCTGGCAGTTAGAGGACAGCAGTGTCTGATGAGGAACTGGCCTGTGTGGGTTTTTTGGACCAGAGTTACCATCGGCAGAGGTGAACAGATTCCAGCAGAGGTGAGTGGGAGTTGCCCTCTTCCTAAAATTATGAAAGTTGCCACACCATGTTTTCCACTGATGGAAGTGAACCTCATACCATTCCTCAGAGCCAGAGTCAATGGCTGTGAAGTAGTGGCATCCCTGTGTGATGGCAGCTGAACAGTCAGTGGTGTCTATTGTGTGCTGAGTGTGTCCAGGGTCATCTCATTGATTTCTCTCAGTGATGCTGTATTGTGGGTGAGAACGTGCCCCTGGTGTGATTCTGTGCCAGGAAATGATTCTCCTAGTGTGTCCTGGGGTCAGTTCTGACCACAGGTAGGGCAGCCAGCCCCACTGTGGGCCCATCATGTTACCTGCCCTGGGGTTTGGGTGGGAGAACCCCTGCCCTTCAGGAGTTAGGCACACTGGAGGATACCCCAGTGCCAAGCTGGTTGATGAAGCTCCATCTTTCTGACTTGTGGGGGAAGTGCATATGCCCCAGCTGGCCTGCCTTTGTCCATGTCCTCTGGAGCAGACCACTTCCTGCTCTCTGGGTATTGGGTGCCACTTTTCTCACTCTGCAGTTGTCATTCACTTTGATCTGAGGGACAGGGTCATGGGGAACCCACCCTGTGGCTCTCAGCACTGTGTCAGGTTTGGACTTCAGTCTTGTAGCTGGGAAAGTGAGGTGTCCTTGAGACACTGGTGGCCTCAGAGTGAGCAGTAGCTGTTACCAGGGATCAGTGGGAAGAGACTAGGCAGCTTCCTGGAGGAGGTGAGGGTCGTCCTCACCTAGTGGGCCCTCATTCACAGAGTCTGGGCTCCGTCAGTCTGTAGGAGAAGGCAGGGCTGTCCTGTTCTTTACCTTGGGGCTCTGGCCTATAACCCAGGACTTCTGTGGGCTGCAGGAATAGTAAGCAGGGCTGCTGGTGATGCTCTTGGAGGAGAAGGACAAGCCTCCCCTTCCCCTCCCCAGCACACACACCTATTGGCACTTAGGAGGCTGAAGATTGTGACCTCACTTGTTTGGATAATGCTGTGTCTTCATGAGATGGTAAGGTGTCAGATTTGTCCTCACCTACCAGAAAGATGAATGTCCCATCCTCACCTGGCAGCAGTTGGAACTCTGTCCTCAAGTGAAGGTAAGATGAATGCTGTGTCCTAAAATTATGAAAGTTGCCACACTGTGCCTTCCACTGAGGGAGGTGAACCTCATAGCATGTCCTGAACCAGGAACTGTGAATGCAGCTTCCTTATTTGATGGGTGAACGCATCTCCTCACATGAGCATGCTGAGTCTAATCACTGAAGGATTTCCACTAACAGAAGGCTGAGGTCATTCTCTGCAAAATGTTTTAAGGGTAAAGGTCATGTCCTAATGTGTGAGGAAGGTGAGTGCCTTGTTCTAATGGGAAAATAGGGTGAAGATCTTGGCTTACATAATGGAAGGCTGAATGAGGTGTCCACAAGTGATGTTAAGGTGAACACCTTGTCCTCTCCTGAAGAACATTGAATCCCTTTGCTAGCATGATGAAAAGATGAAGGACATATCATTATGTGAATTTCATGAGAAAACACATTGCAAACATTTACCTTAGGGTGGAGACCATGTTGTCATATGATGGAAGAGTGGATGGCCTGTCCCAATGCCAAAAGGTGACTCCTGTGCCTGGAAATGATAGAAGTTTGAAACTGTGAGCCATGGAATGGGAGTGTAATAACTCTGTCCAAAATGATGGAGTAGTGAAAGTCCTGTCATCACCTGATGCAAAGTGAATGCAGTTGTTTCACCTGATAGAAGGGTGGATTCTGTGTACTTTCTGAGGGGAGGGAAGTGTCTTCCCCTCATCTGATGGAAGGGGGGCAGCTTCATTTCATGTGTCAGTAGGGTGAAAGTTGAGTTCTCACTTGGTGAATATGTGAAGGCCATGCCTTTACCTGAAATAACAGTGAATGGCTTTTCTTCAACTGAGGTAATGGGAATGTCCTAGTCTCTTCTGTTGAAAGGGTTGATCTGTTCACAATGTGGGATGAACTACTTCTCACCTGAAGCAACAGGGAAGGCTATGTCTCTACCAGACAGAATGGCAGGCACCAAATTATCACTTCCTGGAAGGTTAAATACCCTCCCTTCACCATGAAAAATGTCAACAGTCAGCCATCTAGTGTATGAAGAATTATCACCTGGTACTCTCCTGACTGAAGGCCAAAAGCTTCTCCTAACCTCAGGGAAGTTTGAAGGTGATGTCCTAAAGGTGTGTGTAAGGTGAATGCAACATCTTCACTTGAAGATAGGGTGAAGGTGTAAATCTTGATGTGATGAAAAGGGTGGTAGTAGAGTGAATGCCTTGCCTTTTTCCTGATGCAAGGTTGCAGGGTTGAAAGCCTTGTGTTTAAGAGAAAGAAGTATAATCAGGTGAGTATTGGATGAATATAATAGGTGATAGGATGAGTGTTGTGTCCTAGTGGGCTAAAGTGGTGAATGCCTTATCCTCAGTCATGGAGAGGTGGCCCCATGCCCGCACAGGAAAATAATGAGAAAGCTGATTCCTCATCAAATGGAAGAGTGATTGCACTGAGAGCTCCTGATGAATGAGTGAATGTCCTGCCCTCAAATGATAGAAGCATGAATAGAGTTTTCTCACGTGATGAAAAGGTGAACTCTATGTACTCAGCTGGTGGAGGGGAATGTCCTTCCTCACCAGGAGGAAGGGTGGGCAGCCTCGTCTGATGTGTTGGTAGGATGAATGCCAAGTCCTCACATGGTGATAGGGTGAAGATCATGTCTCCTTGTGAAGGAACGGTGAATGTCCTAACATCAGCAGAGGAAAGGGAGGACCATTTTCTCATTTACGAGGGAAGGGTGAAATTCATTTCATCTTTTAATGATAGTGTTAATACACAGTACTCCAATGCTCGAAGTTTGAATGCCCTGTGTTTATCTTGTGGAAGATAACTAGACTTTACAATCTTGAGGGAAGAATAAAGACTGTTTTCACAGGAGAGAGGGCTGAAAGCCATCCTCTGCAGATGGAAAGACAAATGCTTGAACTTCCCTGTGAGACATTGAATGCCAACTCCTCACCATGTGGTGTTTCATCTCCAGGCAGAGGGGTGTTCTCCATTAGAGAATTTTAATGCCCTCTCCTCACAATGGGAAATGCGTACACAACAGCCACTACTCACTGTGAAATTTTCAGCCAGTACTCAATTAAAGAGGGCAAAATGCCTACTCCTCATCTGAAAGAATGGAGAAAGCCGTGTGACTGTGACAATATGGTGAAGAGAATGTCCTGTTGTGAAGATATTAAGATTCTGTTTTCTCATTATGACTGACTGCAGAATCCTCATGTAATGGCATGTTGTCCTCTTGTAATCTAAGTTTGGTCAACTTCTGCACATCTGGTGGAATGGTGACTGATGTGTTGTATTGGTAGGACTGGGTGAATGCAGAGTCCTCACATCACAATAGGGTGAAGGCCTTGTTGTCATGTGATGGAAAGATGAATGCCCTGTCATCAGCTATGATGAGGAGAACCCTATCACCTCACATGTAGGATGTTTGAACTTGGTGTCCTCATTGCATGGGGAAGAGGATGGTTTTTCTGCACCTGATGGAAGAGGGAATCTTATCTTCAACTGAGGGAAGCATGAACACATCTTCCTCACATGGTGCAAGAGTGAATTCTGTTGTAAGCTGAAAGAAGGGTGTCGCTCCCCCTCTTCGTGGAGGAACGACACTAAACCCTGCCTAGGCTTCATATCCGAGTCACGGCACCATTATGTCGCTCCCCCTCTTCGTGGAGGAGCAACACAGGACCCTGCGCTGTTCTTTCGTCTGCTCGGCCCTCCCCGGGTTTGCTGCTGGTTCTTCCCGGGTTGGCTACTATCCCTTCCACCTCCGTGGAAGGGCAGTTCCCCCTGGCCGCATTCCCCACTTCCGCAGGGGAGCGGCACACCGCCGGCCGGCTCTTCTCGGGGGCTGCACGGGTTCCCTTAGATGTTCCCCATAGATGTTCCTGGTGCATGCCGTCTCTCTCCTCCTTTATAGTCCTCCTCCGCCAATCCCAACTCGGCTGAGTACGCTGCTCTCCAATCAGGAGCAAGTCCTACAGTTAATTGGTTGAACTGGAGGCAGCTGTGCGGAAGCTGTTTACTTCTCTCCCAGCGCCATATTGTGGGAGAGCAGATGCATAGAATAAGTCCTAATTCGAGCAACTTAGTCCAGTCCGGATTGCTCCCCACAAAGGGGAATGTGCATCCTCTCCTGAGGAAGGGTGGGCAGCCTCATCTGGTGTGTCATCAGGACAAATGCCATGTCCTCACATGGGGTCAGGGTGAAGATCATGTCTTCATGTGAAGGGAGGGTGATGTCCTGTGCTCACCAGAGGAAAAGGAGGATGACTTTCACTTATGAGGGATATGGTGAATGTTGTTTGTGGATGTAAAGTTAGTGCCCAGTACCCATGTGATTGAATTTTGAATGGCCTATGTTGAATGGCTTATGATGGAATGGTAAATGTACTTGGCAATCCTCATGGAAGATTAGATGGTTTGTCTTCACTGGAGGGAAGGCTGAATGCCTCATTCTCTGCTTTTGGATGGACATTATCTTGACCTCTCCTGTGAGATACATAATTCTATCTCTTCACCTAATGGAAGAATGCAATAAGTTTCTTCACTGGACTGAAGGACAAACACTGTATTACTATGTTAGAGAATTTGAATGTTCATAAAAGAAATTATGAACAATGTGTCCATGACAGGCCATATGATTGTCAGCCACTACTAAAGTACAGAAGGCCAAATGTTATCTTCTCATCTGGCAGTAAGGTGAAGGCTGTGTTATGATATAAGAATATGGTGAAGGGAATATCCTCATGTGAAGATGTCACGAAGGTGATGGATGAGAGAATGCAGAATCCTTGTGTAATGGCAGGCTGAATGCTCTGTCCTGTCTTTATCAAAGTTTGAGCACCTCCTGCACATCTGATAAAATGGTGATGGATGTGTTGTTATGCAAGAGCTATGTGAATTCAGGGTCCTCACATCACAATTAGGTGAAGATCTTGCCACATGATGGAAGGATGAATGCCCTGTTCTCAGCCATGTAGAAATGAACTCTGTCACCTCACATGTTGGATGTTTGAAAGTGGTTATCTAGTTGAAATGGCATGTGACTAGCCAATCTGTATGTTATGGAAGGGAATGGCCCTGTTCTCAATGGAGGGAGGCATGAATACATTTTCCTCACATGGTGGAAGGGTGAACTCTCTGTTCTCAGCTGACAGAAAGGAAATGCCCCCCATCACCTGAAGGATGGTTAAGAAGCCTGACTTGATGTGTCAGCAGGATGAATGACATGTCCACACATGGTGACAGGGTGAAGATCATGTTTTCATATGAAGAGATGGTGAGTGTTCTCTCTTTAGCAGAGTAAGGGGTGGATACTTTCTTTACTTATGAAGGAGTGCCGAGTGCCATTTTGTCCTGTGATGTCACTGTTAATGCCCTGTAATCAATGATGGAAGTTGGAGCAACCTGTGATTATTTGGTGGAAAGACAAAGATATTTACAATCTTGAGGGAAGAATAAAGGCTCCATGTTCACAGGAGGTGACTTCAGATGCTCTGTTGTCTGTGGAGAAAAAGACATTCATATGAACTGTTCTGAGAAATAGTGAATACCATTTTCCAACCAATGGAAATGTGAATTTTGTTTTATTATTGATAAGTATGAACACTGTGTTCTCACATTAGAGAATTTGAATTACCTCCCCTACAAAGGGAAGTGCAAACACATTGTCCACTAAAGACTGAAGAATTCAACTGATATTTAATTAAGGAAGGCAAAATGCCCAGTCCTCATCAGAAAAAAAGGTTGAAGTCCATGTTATAATGTGAGAATATGGTGATGGGAATGTCTTCATGTGAAGATCTCTTGAAGATCCATTTCCTTGTGATGGAAGTGTGAATGCCGGGTCCTCATATAATGGAATGGTGAATGATGTGTCCACTCTTAGTTGAAGTCTGGCCACCTTCTGCACATCTGATGAGGTGGTGATTGATGTGTTGTAGTGTTAGGGCTGGGTAATTTCAAGGTCTTCACATTGCAGTAGGGTGAAGGTAGGTCTTCATGAGATGGAAGGGTAAATTCCCTGTGCACATACATGGAAAGCTGGAACCTCTCACATCACATATTGGAAGTTTGAATGTGGTGTCCTCATTGAATGGGAATGGGAATGTCCACCGGAAAACTTGAGAGAAGAACAAAGGCTCCATCTTCATTGAGGGAAGGTTGAAGGCCCTATTCTTTGTGGATGGGTACACACTCACTTGAACTGTGAGGGAATGAATGTCATCTCCTCAATTAATAGAATGGAGAAGTCCATCTGGATTGTGGATAGAAGGACATTTTCCCTTTAGAGTATTTGGATTCCCAATTCACAAAAAGGGAAGTGTGAACACAATCTCCAATATATTCTGAAGAACTTTCACACAGAACTTAGATAAAGAAAGAAAAATGCCTTTGCTTTATCTGACAGAAGGATGAAGGCCATGTAGCATAGTGATAATATGGTGAAGGCTAAGTTCGAATGTAAAGAGAGCATGCAGGTCCTTTTCTCTCATATTGGAAGTGTTGTTGCACACTCCTTGTTGGATAACATGGTGAATGCTGTGTCATCTATTAATCAAAGTCAAATCACACTGTAAGTATCTGATGGAATGATGATTGATGTGTTGTGAGATAAGGGTTGTGTGAATACAGGGTCCTCACATCAAAATAGGGTGAAAGTCCTGTTGTCATGAGATGGAAGGATGAATGCCCTGTCCTCAGCTATGACAAGGTGAATCCTGTCAGACACATGTTAGAAGTTTGAATGTGGTGTCCTCATTGATGTGAATGTGAATGATTTATCTTCACCTCCTGAAAGATGGAAGTTCCTGTCCTCAACTGAGGGACACTGAACACATTTTCCTCATGGGGTGTGTGTGTTTGTGTGTGTGTGGGGGTGAACTCTGTTCTCAGCTGATGGAAGGGGACTGTCCTTCCTCACCTGAGGGAAAGCTGGGCAGCCTCATCTGATGTGTCAACAGGAGGAATGTCATGTCCTCATATGGTGACAGGGTGAAGATCTTGTCTTCATGTGAAGGAATGGTGAGTGTCCTGTCCTCAGAAGAGGAAAACAAGGTGATTATTTCACTCATGGTGGAAGGGTGAAATCCATTTTTCTTGTGATGGAAGTTCTTATGCCCTGTACTCATTGGATTGGAATTTGAAAACACTGTGTTTACTGGTGGAAAGATAAATGTATTTGTAAACCTGATAGAAGAAAAATAGTTCTTCTCTGAAGGCTAGATGAACACCCTATTCTTTGGGGATGGAACGACATTGATTTGAACTTTGCTGTGAGAATATGACTGCCGTCTTCTCACTTCATGGAATGGTGAAGTGCATTAGGTAAATGGATTGAAGGCCATCCTCCATTTAGAAATTTTGAATGCCATCTTCACCCATAGGAAAATGTGAGCACACTTTCCATTATAATCTGAAGAATGTTCATCTAGTTATTAGCTGAAGAAAATAAAATACCTTTTATTCACCTGACAGAAGAGTGAGGGCTGTGTTATGCTGAAAGCAATGTACTGATGTGGAGATTGCAAGGAATTCCTATTCTCTCATGATGGAAGGATGAATTCAGAGTCTTTATGGAATGGTATGCTGAATTGACATTTGATCACCATCTACGCCCCTGACATTATGGTGATTTATGTGTGGGTGTTAGGGCTGAGAGAATTCAGCTTCCTTACATCGTAACGGGGTGAGGGCCTTGTTGTCATGTGATGGAAGGATGCATGTTCATCATCAGACAAAAAGAGATGAACCCTGTCCTGCCAAATGTTAGAAGTTTGAATGTTATGTCTTCATTGAATGGAAAGGTGAAAGGCCAGTCTGCACCTCATGGAAGACAGAAGGTCTTCTCCTCAGCTGAGAGAACAATGTCCTCATTTTCCTCACATGTTTGAAAGATGAACTCTGTGTTCTCAAGTCATGGAAGGGAAATGTCTGTCCTCACCTGAGGGAATGGTGGGCAGCCACATCTGATGTGTCAGCAGGATGAATGACTTGATCTCCCATGGTGATGTGGTGAAGACCATGTCTTACTGTGAAAGGACAGTTACTGTCCTGCCCCAGCAGAATAAATGGAAGGTGGGTTCTTCACTAGAGGGAAGGGAGAATGCCATTTTGTCTTGTGATGGTAGTGTTAATGTTCTGTCATCACATGATCAAAGTTTGAATGAACTGTGTTTATATGATGGGAAGATGAATGTACCTTGTAATTCGGAAGGAAGCATTAAGGCTCTGTCATCACTGGATGAAAGGCTGAATGTCCTATTCTCTGCAAAGGGAAAGACTTTCTTGTGAAATCCTCTGAGAATTTGCCTCTTCACCTAACTAAGTGAGAACTCTGTTTCACCACTGCCACAAGAGGCAAACAGCACATTGTCACGTTTGAGAATATGAATGCCCTCTCCTCACAACCAGAATTGTGAAACAAAATGTCGACTTCAGACTGAAGAATTCTGAGCCAGTACTTACCTAAAGAAGGCAAAATGTCTGGTTGTCATTTGAGCAAATGATGATTGACATCTTATAATATGAAAATATGATTAAGAGAATGTCTTCATGTGAAGATAGCAGAACAGCCTATTCTCTCGTGATGGAAGGGTGAATACAGATTCCTCATGTAATGGCATGGTGAATGCTGTGTTCTCTTGTAATTGAAGTTGGACTCCCTTCTGCACATCTGATTGAAAGGTGATTGATGTGTTGTCATGTTACAGCTGGATGAATTCACTGTCCTCACATCGCAGTAGGGTGAAGGCCTTGCTGTCATGTGCTAGAAGGATGAATGCCCTGTCCTCAGCCATGGAGAGGTGAACTCTGTCACCTCACATGTTGGTTGTTTGTGGTGTCCTCACTGAAAGGGAAATGAATGGCTTGGTGGTATAGGGAAGATCCTCATTCAATGGTGGAAACATGACTACATTTTGTTTACATGTTAAAATGGCAAACTCTGTTAGCTGATAGAAGAGCAATGTCTCTCCTGACCTGATCGATGGCTGGGCAGCCTCATCTGAAGTGTGAGCAGGATGAATTTCATATCCTCACATAGTGACCCAATGAAGAGCACATAGGAACGGACGGTGAGTTTCTTTTCCCCCATAGAAGAAACAGAGGATTATTTGTTCACTGATGAGGGATACAGCAATGCCATTTTGTCTTATGGAAATGTTAACATCCTGTACTCATATGTTTGAATTTTGAATGACCTGTGTTTATCTGGTAGAAGGATAAATGTATGTAAAATCTTGAGGGAAGAATAACGACTCTGTTTTCACTGTAGGGAAGGTTAAAGCCCTATTTTCTGCAGAGCAGAAGACATTCACTTGAAGTCCTCTTTGAGAAAAGGAGTGTCATGTTGTCACTCAAGGGAATGGTGAAGCCTATTTTATCACTGATTGATGGACATTCTTCCTTTAGAAAATTTGAATTCCCTCTCAACAGAAAGGTAAATGTGAACACCATGCCCACTAAGTATGAAGAAGTATCACCTAGAGCTTAGCTAAAAGCCAAATGCCTTCTCTTCTGACAGAGGAGTGAATGCCATGTTTTGATGTGAGAATATGGTGAAGGGAATGTCTTCATGTGAAGATAGCAAGGAGGTCCTGTTCTCTCAAGAATTAAGAGTTAATGCAGATTTCTCAAGTGATGGCAGGATGAACACTTTGTCCTCTGCATATCAAAGTTAGAGCATACTGTACATATCTGACATAATGGTGATTGGTGTGCTGACATGTAAGGTCTGGGTGACTGCAGGGTCTCACATCACAATAGGGTGAAGGTCTTGTTATGTGATGGAAGGATAAAAATCCTGTCTTCATGATGGATGCATGGATGTGGTGCCCTCATTGATGGGAAAGTGAATGGCGAGCCTGCACCTGTCCTCTGATGGGGGATGGATGAACACATTATTCTCACACTTGTAGGAGATTCTGTCATCCCTGGCAGGAAGACTGGGTACCCTGTTCTCCGTGGAGAGAGGCATTCTTGTGACCTATCTTGAGAGATAGTGAATGTCATTTCCTACCCTCATGGAATGGTGAAGTCTGTTTCATCACTGCCAATAAGATCAACTCTGAATCATCATTTGAGAGAATTTGAATGTCTTGTACTCACAAAGGAAAGTGCAAACCCAGTGTCCACTACAGACTGAAGAATTATCAACCAGTACTTACTTAAAGAAAGCAAAAGACCGACTCCTCGTTTGACAGAAATAATAAAGGCCATTTTATGATGTGAGAATATGGTGACGGGAGTATCCTCTTGTGAAGATGGCCTTAAAATTCCTGTTTCCTCATGATGGAAGGGTGAATGCAGAGTCCTCAGGTAATGACGTGATGAATCTTCTGTTCTCTCCTAATTGAAGTTTGAACACTCTGTGCTCTGCTGAGGGGACAGTGATTGATGTGTTGTCCTATGAGGGCTGGGTGAATGCAGGTTCTTCACATCACAGTAGGGTAAAGGTCCTTTTATATCATGTGATGGAAGGATGAATGCCTTGTCCTCAGCCATGTTGAGAAGGACCCTGTCACCTCACATGGAGGAAGTCTGAACGTGGTATCCTCAATGAATGGGAAGGTGAATGGTCTCTTTGGACCTGAGGGAAGAGGGAAATTCCTTTCCTCAATTGAAGGAAGCATGAACACATTTTCCTCACATGTTGAAAGGGGAGATTGTTCTCAGCTGATGAATGGGGAATGTGCTTCCTTCCTTGAGAGAAGAGTGGGAAGCCTCATTTGTTATGTAACAGGATGAATGTCTTCTCCTCTCGTGGTGACAGGGAGAAGATCATGTCTTCATGTTCTGGCATGGTCAGTGTCCTGTACTTAGCAGATGAAAGGGTTTCCTGAGTTATAAGGTTAGAGTGTATGCCATTTTGTCCTGTGGTGATAGTGTTAATGCCCTTTCATCACATGATGGACATTTGAATGTCATGTGTTTATTTGGTGGAACACTAGATGTACTTTACAATCCCAGGGAAAGAGTAAATGCTCTGTCCTTGTAAGACTGAATGTCCTATTCTTTGCAGATTAAAGGACATTCATTGGAATTCTCCTTTGAGATAGTAAATGCATTCTCACTAATTAAGACTGATGCCTTTTATCACTGGACAGAAGGGCAACCATGGCATTCTCATTTTAGAGAATTTGAATGCCTTCTCCACTCTGAGGGAAGCGTTAATGTCCACTTGTCCACTTGTGACTGAAAATTATCACCCAGTAATCACCTGAAGAAGGCCATGTGCCTTCTCCTTCTCTGAGTTCAGTGTGCAGGGTGGAGACCATATTACAGTGTGAGAATATGGTGAAGGGAATGTCTTCATGTGAAGATACAGGTCTTGTTCTCCCATGAAGGAAGGGTGGATGGAGTGTCTGCAGGTAATGGTTAAAGGTGAGTATTCTTTTATCCTGTTGGAAGTTTGAGCAGGCTCTGCCCTTGTGATTGAAGGATGATTGATATGTGTCATGTTATGTCTGTGTGAATGCAGGTTCCTCACATCACAATAGGGTGAAGGTTTTGTTGTCATGTGATGGAGGGATGAATGAGTTGTCCTCAGCCATGGAGAGGTGAACCCTGTCACCTGAAATGTTGGAAGTTTGAATGTGGTGTCCTCATTGAATAGGAACATGAATGTCTTTTCTGTACCTGAGGAATGAGGGAATGTCCTGTATTCAACTGATGGATGCATGAACACCTCTTTAAAAAAAGATTTATTTACTTGAAAGACAGAGATGTAGAGCTAGAGTGAGAGTGAAAGTGAGAGCAAGAGCAAGAGAGAGAGAGAGAGAGAGGTCTTCAATCTGCTGGCTCACTCCCCAAATGACCACAATGGCCAGAGCTGAGATGATCTGAACCCAGGAGTCAGGAGCTTCTCTGGGTCTCCCACGTGGGTTCAAGGGCCCAAGGACTTGGTCCAACTTCTACTGTTTCCCGGACCATAGCAGAGAGCTAGATCACATGTGGAATGGCTGGGACTCGAGCCAACGCCCATATGAGATGCCTGCACCATAGGCCAGACTTTAACTCTCTGAGCCACAGTGCCAGTACTGTGTGGGCACCATTTCCTTACATAGTTGAAGGGTGAACTCCCTGTTCTCAGCTGAGGGAAGGGGAATGGCCTCCTTCTTCTAAGGGAAGATGGACACATCATTTTTGGTGTCAGTAGAGTCAAAGCCATGTCTTCACATGGAGATAGGTGAAGATCAGGTTTTCACATGATGAATGTTGGATGCCCCATCCTCTACATGGGAAAAGTAGGATGGCTTCTTTACCTATGAGGGAAGAGTAAGTGCCATTTTACCTCGTGATTGTGATGTGAATGCCTAGTCCTCACATGATGAATGTGCGAATGCCCTGTTTAACTGCTGGGGTGATAGAAGTATTTTACAATCCTGAGGGAAGAGTAAAAGCTCTGTCTTTGCTGGATGGAAGGCTGAGTGTCCTATTCACCATTTATGGGAGTTCACTTATTTGAACTCTTCTGTGAGATACAAAATGCCTTCTCATCACCTAATAGAAGGGTGACATCTGAGTCTTGTCAGGACAGAAGGGCAAACATGTTCTGTTCCTATAGAATTTCAATACCCTTTCCCTATGATGAAAGTGGGAGCCAAATATTCACTACTGACTGAAGAATTATCACCCAGCACCCAACTGAAAAAGCCACATGTTTTCAGTTCATCTGAGAGTTGAAGCCCATTTTTTATCCAATTAAAATTTCTTTTTTTAAAAAAATTTATATGTTATGCAAGTTTCCTGTATTTCACAATACAGCTTTAGAGAAGGCAATGTTTTAATGAAAGAACAGGTGCATGGTGTGTCCTCATGTGAAGATAGCAAGAAAGTCTTCTAAGCAGGATCCTTAGTAATGTAAGTGAATGCTGTGTCCTTTCCAAGTAAAAGACTATGCACTCTGTGCATATCCCATGGAAGTGTGATTGATGTGTTGTCATTTACATTCTGGGAGAGTGCAGGGTCCTCACATCACAATAGGGTGAAGGTCGTGTGATGGATAGGTGGATGCTCTGTCCCCCACTATCTAGAGGTGAAGGCTGTAATCTCACATATCTGACCTTTGAATTTGGTGTCCTCATTGGATGGCCTGTCTTCACCTGATGGAAGAGGAAGGTCCTGCCCTCAAACTGAGGTAAGCATGAACACATTTTCCTCACATGGTAGAAGGGGGAGTTCTGTGTTCACAGGTCATGGTAGGGGAATGTCCTTGCTACCCGAGGGAAGTGTGGACACCTTGATGTTTCAGTAGACTGAAAGGCATGTCCTCACATGGTGAGAGGTGAAGGTCAGGTGTTCAAATGAAGGATTGGTGAATTCCCAGTCCTTGACTGAGGAAAGGGATAGTGTCTTGTTCATACATGTGGGAAGGGTGAGTGCCATGTCTTTACCTGATGGAAGTGGTAATGCCATTTCTTCTTGTGGTAGCATTAACACTGTCATCACACACTGGAACTTTGAAGGCCATGTCTCCATTTAGTGGAATGGGAAATGCTGTTTCTCACACTTATGGAAAAGTGAATGTGTTTTCTTCATCTGAAAGAAGACTGAGTGCCTTGTTCCATGATGATGGAAGGATAATCACATGAACACTCCTGTGGGATAGCAAACACCATCATTTCTCCTAATGGAATGGTAAAGAAAGTTTGTCATATGAGTGGTGGGGAAGTGCAGGGTTCTCATATGATGATAGAGTGAAGTACATGTAGGCCTATTATGGAAGGATGAACAAGCTGTCATGGGCATAGAGAGGTGAACTCTGTACCCTGGCATGATGAAAATTTGAATGCTCTGTCCTAATTATGACATCAGGAAGGTGAAGGACCTGATGGAAGAGTGAAGATCTGATTGTCAACAGGAACATGAATGCAGTTTCTCCAGCTCATAGGAGAGTGAACTCTGTGGACTCAGCTGATGGAAGGTATAATGTGCTTTCTTTACATGATGGATGGGTAGACTCCCTCACTTTATGGTTAAGTAGGTTGAAAGGTGCATCCCTTCATGGAAGGGACAGAATCTATGCTGATAGAAGAGTAATCAGTAGTACACTCATGTGAAAATATTAACAGCTTCTGTTCACCTAAAAGGAGAAGTCTGACCTCGCTGGAGAGAAGAGCAAACGCCATGTTGCAAGCTTACAGAATTTGAATGCCTTCTCATGGAGGGCTGTGGGAGCATCCAGTCCTCTACCAAATGAAAGATTGTCATCAGTGTTCACCGGATGGAACTGTGAATACCTTCTCACCAGATGGCATGTTGGAGGCCATGTCCTAATGGGGCAGTAAGGTGAATTTCATATTAGGTGAAGATAGGGTGAAGACCCTGTCCCCTCATGTGATAGAAGGGTGAATGAAAGGTACTCAGGTGATGGTAAGTGAATTTCCCGTTTCCCCTGATGGAAAGCAAATTGCTCCTATGAGAAGGTGAATTCTGTGTACCCAGCCAATGGAAGAGGAAGCATCCTTTCTTCACCTGAGGGAAGGTTGGGCATCTTTATCCTATGTCTGTAGAGTGAATATAGTTTCCTCAAGGGGTGATGGGTGAAGGCCTTGTCTTTATGTGAGAGAATTCTGAATACCCTGTCCTCAGTAGAAGGAAAGGAGAAGGCCATGTTTTTGCCTGATTGACATGTGAATGCCACTTCACCTTGTGATGGTAAGGTTAACATTCTTCTCACAATGGAGGGTGAATGCCGTGTCTTCACCTGGTGGAATGGTGAATGTCCTTTCCAATCCTGAGGGGTGAGTAAATGCACTCTGCTCCCCTGAGGGAAATGTGAGTGCTATATACTCTGCTGATGGAAGAGCAATCATTGTGCTCACCTGTGGGATGGAACACCTTTTCCTCAGAAAATGGAAGCGTGAAGTTTGTGAACTCAGTGGGCAGAAAAGCAAGCACTGTGTTCTCAATTTACAAAAGTTTGAAAGGCATCTCCTGAGGGAAATGTGAACACCCTGTTTACTGGATTATTCTAACCCAGTATTCTTCCTTCTCACCTGACAGAATGTTGTAGGTCACCCCCTAATGTGATTGTACGATGGGTGCCATGTCCCGACATGAAGGCTTGGTGAAGGTCTTGTCCTGATGTAAGCTCTGAGTGTATGTGCAGTGCTCAGATGGTAGGGAGAATGTCCTGCCCTTGTCTGCTAGAAAGCTGAAGGCCCTGTGCCAGTCTGATGGAAGGGTGAAGGAAGTGCCATGTGAGTGTCACGTGAATGCTGGTTCTGCACTTGATAATAGGGTCAAGGCTACTTGGTCACACCAACAGAAGGGTGACTTCTCTGTACTCCACTGTGGAGAGGTGAGCCTTCTGCCATACATGATGGAAGTGGGCAGGTGAATGCCTTCATTGCACCTGAAGGAAGGATGAAGGTCCTGTACTCACCTGAGGGAGGTGTGACTGCAGTTTTCTCACCTGATGAGGGAACTCTGTGCAGGCAGTTGATTGAAGGGTGAATGTCCTTTCTTCACCTGAGGGCAGGGTGGCCACCCTTATTTCATCTGTAAGTAGGAAGCAAGCCATGTCCTAACATGATGCAGATCATGTGAAGGAATGTTGACTGTCATGTCTTTGTTGTAGTTGATTTGTTCTGAGAGGATTCATCCTGAGAGGAGAAGTGTGGTGGGGGCAAGAGGCTCAGAGTCACCACACAGACCCCGGGAGTCGGGTGAAAACAGGCCAGAGGGGAGCAGCCCACAGACTCATTTATTTAAGTTGCTACAGCTGCTTATATAGCCAAGGCAGCCAATCTGCTCAAGAAGCGGTCTATGCCCTAACCAATCACAGCCTATTGCCAGGCAGTTTCCAAAGCCATCCAATCACAGCTTGTTGCCAGCCAGGCTCTGTTACCAGGCAGTTTCTGAAACCACCCAATCACAGCCTGTTGTCAGTAGGCTCTGTTGTCATGTGGTTTCTGAAGCCATCCAAGCACGGCCTGTTGTCAGGCAGTTTCTGTTGTCAGTGGCCATCTTGGCATGACCTTTTCACCTTCTCATGACCTTCTCAACTTCTCATTCCACCACATGTCTTCAAGTGCAGGAAGGACCAATGCCATGTCCTCACAAGATGGAATGCCATTTCATCTTTTGGTGCTAGGGTTAACACGCTGTACTCACGTGATGGAGGGTGAATGGATGTCTTCATCTATGGAATGGTGAATGCACTTTCCAGTCCTGTGGGAAGAGTAGACACACTGTGCTCACATGAGAGAAATATCAATGTCCTCTTCTCCCTTCAACTTTGCTGTGGGATTCTGAACAGCTTTTCCTCACCAAATGGGTGAATTCTGTGTCCTCACTGGACAGAAGGGCACACTGTGTTGTTACCATACAGAAGTTTGCATGGTCCCTCCTCACACAGGGAAGTGTGAACACCCAGTCCTCTACTGACTGAGGAGTTATCATCCAGTAACTGCCTGACACAAGGGGAAATGCCTTCTCCTCACATGATCTAATGGTGAAGTCCAAGTCCTAATGTGACAGTGAGGTGAATGCCATGTCCTCATGTGAGACAGGAACCACAAGGGTGGTTCTCCTGTCTTCTTCTTGCTCCAAGAATTCCACCTTCTAATGCCATCCATTTAGATTTCAGGTTGCAACAAGTCAATTCTGGGTGATACAGATAAACCATACCCTGGGAAAGGCCATGTGAGGTCTTAGGGGTGGTAGCAATAGCAGGGGTAGGTGATAGGGAAATCCCTTGTGAGTCCTGATTGAGTTCATGTAGCCTTTGAGATGACAGCATGAGGCAGAGAAACCAGAGCCACTTCTAGTAATTGGTGGGACCACATCCCAGGGGAACCCTGGTGTGCCCCCAGTAGCTCTCTTTTCCCAAGCTGGGTACACCCTTCCCTGTGGGATCAGCAGCGTAAGAGGGTGAGGAGGTAATGTCATCATCTGAGCAGGGAACAAGGCAGGGTCTAGTAGATCCCAGAGTCCTGTTCAGGGACCATCCTGTGAATAAGATGGGCTGTCAGAGAAGCTGACCACTTCTGTGTTCCTTTCAGGAAAACCACAAGAATTGCTGACCAAGCCTCTAGGCCTGTTCCAAGAGTCCCTAGGGTTCAGGCCTCACCCAACTCCTCAGAGGCACAAGACGCTGTCAAGAGGACAGGTGGACCTCCCTGTTACTCCAACCTTCACAAGTCACCCCGGGGCTCAGCTCCTGGCCCCTCATGATGGAAATTGCTGAATCCAAAATATTTGAGGTCACATCAGGGCAGGAGGAAGGCAGTGACAAAGAAGGCTCCCTAGAGTCCTGGCCCTGGCCTCTCGCAGTGCACCTCAAAGATTGTCCATCCTGTAGCTCACAGATCCACATGAGCTCAGGCATATTCCAGCTCCATCACCAGTTCCTCTTCTGAAGCTCACAGAACCCTGCAGGCTGGAAACTTCTGTTCCCCAGAGAGTAGCATCCAGTAGGGATATGTCCTCTTCCATGTCTGTCACAGGTCCGCTGCAACTAGGCCTCAACTTATTTAGTGTCCACCTGAAGACAGGGCCAAAGTCATATCAACAACTGTGGCCCTTGCAGTCCAAGCTCTTCTGGCACATTGCCAGGCAGAAGTGCCAGACACGTGTTGAGAGAACTTCCCAAGTCTCCCCACTTCCTAGTAGCCTGTGTGTGGGCCTCCTCCTCCTCCATGGTGCAGGTTGTCATGTTTGCTGCTGGAGCCTGGCACCCCATCCACAGCCCAGGCAGGTCAGCAGCATGCTGCCCTGCCTCCATGATGGGTAGAGCTCACAGAACACATCTGAGGGGTACAGTTCCCTGACTCTGGTGGGATCAACCCAGCCTCATCTGTTGCTGGAAGACTGGATCACCATGAGTCCCCTGAAAGGGTGTGAGCACCAGGCCACTGAATGTCTTGTGTGCCTGCCCTGTGCATGAGTTCAGTACCAGCTGTTCCTGTTGGAGCAGATCCTGGCTCCCTGGGCTTGCATGTCCATGAAAATACCAGCTCATTGCCTGGTCAGCCCGTGAGAACATGGAACAGCAATACACTTCAGTTTGGCTACCTCAGAGCCACACAGGGGTACTTCTAGCCTCCTTGTCACCTTGCTAGTTAAAGAGCAATAAAGTGTTTGTTTTAATATGTTTTGGTCCATTCTTGGAGCACACAGAGCCTCAGGTTTGTTGCATTCTTGGGGCACACAAAACCTGAGGAACAGTGGTTCCTGGTGGTTCTCCTTTGGGGTGACAGGCACTGCATCTTCCACCTTCAGTCAGAGGTCCAGGTCCCAAACATTTAATACCTTTTGGGTTACCAAGCCACTAGGGGTGAGGGCTGTGTTGAGTGGTAACAAAGTCTGAGGTGCATGGGCATTGGGACAGTACATGAGATTCTGTGGAACACACATGTTAGGGTCTGGAGTGACCACTTTGCACGTTCTAGGCTGGCCAGCTTCAGTGTCCATTCCTCTGTGGTTCTGTCTCTCACTGTGGCTCTCAGAATCCAGCACTTCTTTTTTATTTTTATTTTTTTAAATAAGAGGCTTCCAGTCCAGTTTGCAAGCTACTTAGGGTATTTCTTTTCTTTTCTTTTCTTTTATTATTTATTTGACTGATGAGTTAGACAGTAAGAGAAAGAGACAGAGAGAAAGGTCTTCCTTCTGTTGGTTCACCCCCAAATGGGCTGCCACAGCCAGAGCTATGCTAATCTGAATCCAGGAGCCAGGTGCTTCCTCCTGGTCTCCCATGCGAGTGCAGGAGCCCAAGCACTTGGACCATCCTCCACTGCACCCCCAGGCCACAGCAGAGACCTGGACTGGAAGAGGAGCAACCGGGACTTGAACCCATTGCCCATATGGGATGCTGGCACCACAGGTGGATGACTAACCAAGTGAGCCACAGCGCTGTCCCAGAATCCAGCACTTCTAAACTCTGATCCTAGGACAGGTCAAAGGTAGCCCCCGAACACAGGCCAGGAATCCAATAGTGTCACAGGGACCCATGATATCAGATTGGTGTTGGTGGTTTATTTTGGTGGCTAGGAACCCAGCTAGGTTCCCTCATGGTAGGAGAGCTCACCTTTGAAACTCAGGCAGCTAGATTCCCCAGCTTATGCATATGTGTGGCATGAGAGGTGATTCCAGCATGGGGACTAATGTTCCTTCATCTCTCCCCATGGGCTGCTGTGATGGGCCCAACATAAGCTTGCCCTCTCTCTTTTTCTTCCTAACATGCAAGTTCATGGCCCTCTGTGCCCCCATGTGCAGGTAGCCTGCCTGGCAGAGAGGATGATGGCTCAGCCCCTCCTCTGGGCATCTGCAGCCCAGAATGTAGGGGAAGGGGTTGCCCTCAAGTTACACACAGTGACAATGTGAGGTCAACAGAGAGCCAGTCCTGTGGTTAGCTGCTTGGTGGGTAGACAGCACAGAAGGGGGACAGCTGAGGGCAGAGGTGAGCCCCTCTCCAGCAGTAGCAGGTGCTACGTGGGGAAGCCTGTGAGTGCCCTGGCAGGCCAGGGGTTGGCACACAGTTCCAGCCTCAGAAGGTCAGTGGCTGCACTGGACCTGCTTTCCAAGTGTGCCAACATTATCACCAGAGGTGCAGATGAACATGTCTGAATCTGGACTGCAACTGTAACACGTGAGTCTGAAAATTCACCCACAGTCACCATGACAGTAGTAATGCACCACACTGATATTAGTGTTGTAAACTTAAAATTGTGGGGTCAAGGAATCCTTTGTTGAAATGGTACCAAGACAAATCTCTGTGAATGAATTTATTTCATTAGGAAAACTCAGTCCCTGATCACCAAATCCACATGCCCCTCTCAGGCACTTCCCTGCCAAAGCTGTGTAAGTCCTGTTTCAGAGCACAGGCCTGGGATGGCACATACACAGGGCCACTCAGGAAGCCACCACCTGAATCTGCATATCGACTGTGTGTAGTGGAGTCCATCTTATTCATGTCAGCACGCTTGTGCGTCAGCTCCAGCACAGCCCTGGAAAATGCCAGGATCCAGCTTCCTGGCACCTGGGCTTCATACCTCCATACTGTCGCTCCCCCTCTTCGTGGAGGAACGACACAGGACCCTGCGCTGTTCTTTCGTCTGCTCGGCCCTCCCCGGGTTTGCTGCTGGTTCTTCCCGGGTTGGCTGCCGTCCCTTCCACCTCCGTGGAAGGGCGGTTCCCCCTGGCCACTTTCCCCACTTCCGCAGGGGAGCGGCACACCGCCGGCCGGCTCTCTCGGGGGCTGCACAGGTGTTCCCCTTAGATGTTCCCCTTAGATGTTCCTGGTGCATGCTGTCTCTCTCCTCCTTTATAGTCCTCCTCTGCCAATCCCAACTCAGTTGCCCACACGCCGAGTACACTGCTCTCCTCCAATCAGGAGCAAGTCCTACAGTTTATTGGCTGAACTGGAGGCAGCTGTGTAGAAGCTGTTTTCTCCTCTCCCAGCGCCATATTGTGGGAGAGCAGATGCATAGAATAAGTCTTAATTCCAGTAACTTAGTCTAGTCCGAGTTGCTCCCCACACATACTGTCCTGGACTCAGGCAGCAAGTGTAACTTTGGGATCCCAGCACCTCAGTCTGGGATCCCAGCTCCATTGCTATAGACCAAGTGTGTGCAACACAGGGAACTGTGGGCCTGAATCACAGCCACTCGGACTTGTGAGATGCACCACCCTCTGCAGGCTGTGCATTTGTGTGTCCTTCCCCTGTTTTCCCTCGTCAAGCAATGGACAGCTGGTGACCACTGCAGCCTGGCCACTGCTGGTTTGGACGCTTTTTTGCAGAGTGTGGCTTGCTGGGTTCTGGCAGTGGAACCGGGGAGGAGCCACGAGTGCTGTGCAGGACCTGCCAGGTGCGACTGATCTGCCTGCCTTGGGAGCAATGGAGGGGCCCTGGCGGGAAGGAGCTGGGGAGTAATGTCAAAAGCAGGATTGCTGGCCCACCCTGAACCGGTTCTGTGTCCACCTGGGGCCCTCTATATCCAGCATGGCCACACTCGGGTTCATCTACACCCACACTCCCTACAGGGCAGTTCTGTCTAGAACCACACATGTCTACATCAGCGCTCCCCCAAGCATGCTCTGTCCTGAGCTGCATGCATCCACCTGTGCTGGGTCTTCATCCCACCTGAGGCCTGGCCGCCTTTGATCCTTGCTCCAGTAGCAGAGGATGGCAGTTGGCGCCAAAGAGAAGTCCTGCCCTTGGGGTTTCTTATTGGTGGGGCCCCGTGGCGGCACAGCTGATTGGCTGCAGGACTTAACTGGTGCATGGACGCTGTCACCTCGGGCTGGTGGCCTTCAGCTCTGAGGTGCTTTCAGACCAGGCTTCCATGGAGTTGGGGATGCAGCCGCCTGGAGGAACCTTGAGTCAGCGCGGTCAGCGCGGTGAGTCCTGGGCTTCCGGCTTTCCGGGCCGGTCCAACTGCGCCTCAGCCTCGCAGTTCCTTCTTCTGCTCAGTTTCTGGGGTCCCTGAGGTGTCGCTCACGCTCCCCGTTGGGCTGCTGGGCTTCTGCCCCAGTGCACAGGGTGCATGGGCGCCCGTGGGACCCCTGTGCGGACCCCGGTCAGGGTCCTCGCGAGACTCGGCATTGGGCCTCTTGCGCAGTTCCCCATGGCCCTGGCTCGGAGTTTGCTCAGTCTTGGTGCGAGGGGCGTTGCGGGAGGGGTCTGAGGCCCCCTGAGACGCCTCATGGGCAGCTATGAGGGCCTGGGAGCACCTGAGGAGGCATCAGGTGGGGGAGCTGGCCCACCCGTGGGGGCTGCAGCTGAGGGCGCAGCTGGTGATTCCATCTGCTGTTTGTGCCCATCAGGCCCGACACTGGTGGCAGAAGTGCGGAGTTGGGATTTGGAGAGTGTGGGAAATCATCCCCATCTATTATTATGAAAGCAGAAGGTGGAAAGAATGAAACGTTGGGGAGATGAGTGCTTCAGGAGCTCACTGACCCATTTGGGTTAATTAACGTGGTCCTTTGTAGTTTTACACGCTTCACCAGAGGGTGGCATGGCTTTAACAGAATAGGCATGATCCTATCTGCTTTTCAGTGAATTCAGAATTGAGCCGCCTTCGGAGCCGTTTCTAGGGGTATTTTATTGGACATGAAGGACATTGAGGAGGAACTAGACTTAATTCTCATTGCCAAAAGGACAAACAGATTCAGAAGACATGACAGTTGATATTTAATAAAGCATGAAGCTGTATATAAATTCACACAAAAGATTAATTTTGTTTCAATTTTTAAAAATCCAGCCATGGACAGAAAAGTCAATGATACTACAGGTCACTCTAGCATGTGAAATTCTAACTGTTTGCCACCTGGTGAGGGGGATGGTAATGGAGATGGTAAGGACTGCAGAGCCAGCCCCTTAGGTGACTTTGGGCAGGTGATTTGGTCTGTGTTGTGGTCCAGTTACCTCTGAGGTGGAATGGGGTTTATGCAAATGGTTTGCATAACTCACAAGTTTTCTTGATAAAAAACTAGGTGGTTTGCAGTCCTTGAAGCCAGCATCCTGTGAACCTTTTTTTGGCTAGCTATGAAATATATAGTCCCCACATTCCCCCCAACTGTTCTCCGAACTGGCTCCCATCACCTGGGGACATGCATCATTGGCTGTTGGCATGGACTAGGATTTCGTGAATGCTTGTTGCATTAAGCAGCCATTGGGACATGTGCTTGTCAACAATACCTGCACACTGATGGAGAACAGCTACTGTTTTCTCTGCAGTCCACAGGTCGACCGTCTGTTCTGCTGGGTGGGGGCTTCCTGGGCTGGGATGGCCTCTTGCCATGTGTGACGACTGCCAGCTTCCACTTGAGGCATCAGGAACAACTGGTAACTAGCAGGCTAGCCAGGCCAATGTGAGCTTTTATATAGTTTTCTTTGTATCTCATTCAGGGAATTAATGCTTTAAGATTCAAATTAGTTGTAGCTTCATTTCTGCTAAGAAGTTGTATATCTGTGGGAAACAAGCCCACCTACCTACCAAAGAATGGACTCAGAAAAATAAAGGAGACATAAAGCAAGTGTTTTATGGATTCCTGATCCCGAGAGCAGTGACCAGCCTATGGAAATAGGCCCCACCCTCAAAAATTCAGCTTTTTATCCTTGCCATGCAGTGGTCCCTTTCCCCTGATCC